GCAGTGAGCATCCTCTGCTTCAGGCTTTCTCTGACTCGCACGTGCCTCCAAGACTCCAGGGAATGTGGCTGAAGCGCCTCCTTTGATCCAGCAGGTCGAGGACGGAATGGGGTTGGGGTGAGATGGGGTTCCCGAGATGGGGAGGGGAGCTGAGAGCTTACATTTCTAACAAGCGCCTGCATGTTGCTTTCCAAACTTGCTAACCGCGCAGTAAGGAGCAAGGATGCAGACCAGGAGATCTGGCTTACTGTTCACCACCACCCCACCCACCCGGAGGTCCAGGTGCTCAACTTGTACCCCTCCCTCCACCTCAGGCCATGAGGACCCCTCTCTGTCTTTTGGCTTCGGAGGAAAAGGAAAGGTGTAACTGAGTACGGTGAACCCTTGGAGAGCCATTTCTGAATCCCCACCCCCCCTTCACGCGTGCGCACAAGGATTCTGCCTTGCATGGAACTTGACTTTCTATTGCATAGCACTTGCTATTAATGGGACTCGGCGTCTTCTTGAACAACAGCCCAGTGCCATTACCAGTTTGTTTGGGATACCCCAATAAGCCACAGAGTTTTCTTTTCAACTATTAAGAAATTAATTTAGAACTGGGAATGGCTCAGCAATCAAGAGTCCTTACTGTCTCTGTTGGTTAGTTGTTTGTTTGTTTGTTTTGTCACCTTGCACAAACTAGGGTCATTGGGAAACCTCAACTGAAAAATTGCCTCCATCAGACTGGCTCCTGGGCACGTCGGTGCAGCATTTTCTTGACTAATGATTGGTGTTGGGTGGCCCAGCCCACGCGGGAGGCACCACCACCTCTGGGCAGTTGGTCCTGGGTTGTATGAGAGCAGCCAAAGCAAGCCATGGGGAGCAAGCCAGTAAGCAGCATTTCTCCAAGGTCTCTGCTTTAGTTCCTGCTTCCAAACTCCTGCCTTGAGTTCCTGCCCTGACTTCTCTCAGTGATGTCTGTGCAGTGTTAAGTGTTGGCCCAATAAACCCTTTCTTCAGCAAGTTGCTTTTGATCATCGTGTTTATCCCGGCAACAGAGAACAAACGAAGATATTGCTCTTGGAGAGGCCCAAGTTGGGTTCCCAGGACCCAGATGGTAGCCCACAACAACCGGTAACTCGTTCCAGAGTATCCAAACCTTCTGGCCTCTTAGGACTCTTACACTTATGTGCTAGGCATATAGTCAGATAGCAAACATATACATATAAAACAAATCTTTTAAAAACTTGTACCAATTAGTTAGAAGGTATATTTATGGATGATACACATTTTCATTTGTGTGGTTCTTTTTTTTAAACCACTCAGCATATACCAAAAGGATGTTTACTGATGCTAAATGTATAACTGGAGGAAAGGAGAACTTACTGAGTCTCTGCTAAGCGGTCCAAATTAGAGCAGTTTTTCTTTCTTCTCACAATGGCTCTGCATGATGGTGTTAGTGACTGCTCCACAGATAAGAATGTTCGGTAAGCCAGAGAAACCCAGGATAATCCAGCCAGGGTAGGGGTTTGGAAAGGGCATTCTGTTTGTTTGTGTGGGGGTTTTTTGTTTTGCTTTGTTTTTTGTTTGTTTTTGAGACAGGGTCTCTCTATTTAGCCTTGGCTGTCCTGGAACTCTCTATGTAGACCAGTCACAGAGATCCGCCTGCCTCTGCCTCCCAGTGCCAGAGGTTTCTTTTACGATCTGGACATGGTAACACACAGCTGTTAACACCGCAGTGGGGGGGGGGGACAACTCTGAAGCCTAAGGATCTCAAATTTAAGACCAGCCTAGACTATCAATCAAGATCATGTCTCAAAAAAAAAAAAAAAGACTTCTTCCCATTACAGTGTTAATATTTGAATTGAATTGGATCTCCAGTGGACCAGTCAACTACTGTGAGCACACTTATTAATAACCTTTGCATCAACCTTATGTGGTAGATCCTAAAAGCAAAGCAGCTTACAGGTGACAATCATCATAAAGGCCAGATGGCCATCCAGCTAAAAGGTGATAGGGTTCAGCTGTCAATCAAAGCACCTATTCCTATTGCCTATCATTCCTCTACCCACATCGTCTCGTGGTCAAGTGGAACTTCTCTTGCCCTTTATTTTATCATCCGTGTCGTGAAAGTCTGCTTGCTACTATGCATCCCGTTTCTGTAACTGACTAATATGACCTCTGCTTCGGATGGGGGGAGGTGTCTCCTTGTGTTTGATAAAGGCTGCCTCTCTCTGAACTTACTCCCTCATTGGCTAGAAGTTGAAGGAGTCTGAAAGAGCGGCTTAGGGAATCCTGAGCTGTCACTGTTTCCCACTTGGCCTGCCTGCTCTAAGACAGGTGAAGCTCAAATGTGTTCACCAAGCAGAGCATCCTGCAGGAGACTTCACATCGTGGAGTCTACAGCTATAGTCCACGTTGGGCATGCACACAGGACCTTTCCCCACTCACACGGTGCTCTGTTCTCTGCATTACAACGAACCCCTCAGCTCATATTTACCTGCCATACCCTCGGGTCTTATGAGGGGTGCAGGAGGGTGGTGGTGCTTAGGAATTTCTGAGCACTGGGGTACTGTAGCCTTACACACCTTTCCAGATTCCCCTCTACTCCACCATAATAGACATCTTATGGGAGCTTCAGTCTCCTTGTGGCAGAGTAAGAATAGTGAGAATTTACTGCAGAGCTTTGCTGCGCTGTGTAGGAACCAGCATATGACAGCTTACTCATTGCAAGTGGCTATCAAGATACAATGTATGAATACACAACACAAGATTTCTTATGAATGAATGAATGGCCTAAAGATACAACATAAGAATACAGAACACACAGATTTCTTATGAATGAAGGAATGGCATAAAGATATAACATATGAATACACAACTCATGCCTTTCTTATGAGTGAATGAATGGCATAAAGGAAGATTGGGAAGGTTGACTTGAGTCCTCTAAACCAATGAACAACTTCTTTGAAATTGAGCTTTTAGAAATTTGCTCTTTGGGGTGGGAAGTAGGTGAAAGAAAAACTCAAGGGGTTGTGTGAGAGGACCACAGTATGGCTGGGGATCAGGATCATCGAAGCAGCAGCTGGATGGACAGACAAACTTTTCAGCTCTCCAAACCTAGCCCAGCCCTGAATTTAAGCCCAAAGCTTTGCACAGGAGACTTCCAGAATGACTGGATTCTTGTGTGTGTGTGTGTGTGTGTGTGTGTGTGTGTGTGTGTGTGTGTTTCAGAAGGAGGGAGGTGGCATGCATGACACAGCTGTTTTCTTTTTTGTTGTTGTGGTTTTGTTTTTTGAGACAGGGTTTCTCTGAAGCTTTGGAGGCTGTCCTGGAATTCACTCAGTAGACCAGGCTCACCTCGAACTCATAGAGATCCCCCTGCCTCTGCCTCCCGAGTGCTGGGATTAAAGGGGTGCATCACCACTGCCTGGCTACACAACTGTTTTCTATGAAGATAGCAAATGACAATATTTCATTGCTACTATTGGAATGAAAACCCGATTATCAAACGGATACAGAGACTAAACATGTGGAGTGCTGAGAGACTCTCTCAGCTAAGACCAAAGACCTTGAAAAACAGAAAAAGGCTTGAGCAGAAGGTAGCTGTCTTGTCTCTGTGGCTGATAGGGACTAGCTTGAAAATAATATAGTTAATCATCCCCCATGCTTCTGGTAATAAACAATTGGAATATTTATCTTGAAAGCCAGGTCAAGATGTTACTGATATTAGGACCTCCTACTTTTTTTTAAAGCCAGAATTTCTTAGACACATTTAAACAGAATCCATTACAAACACTAAGTAACAATAATAACAATTTGACTTGTAAAATAAAATACAATTAACACGGCCCAGGTGCTCAGTAATGAGCTTGAAGTAATGACTCATCCGTTTGAAAACTTCCCTGACTGAGGGTTCTAATGTGATTACAAGTGGGTCATAAAAGTGGATGTGAGAAACTAGTTTCCCAAGTCAGGATTATGATTTACTGGAATCCATGACCCTACAGAGTAAGGCAATAATCAGCAGGCGAGAAATGACTACTGCTGACTCATTAATCCAAGAACTCTGCACTAATTACAGTGCCTCAGTTTCCCTATTTTGTGAAATGAAGTTGTCACCTGCCTTGCCACTCTGTTGTGTTTGGAAAGTCCTGGGAGATAATAGTCTGCGTGCTTTGAAAATAAGGAATACATTATAAATGCTAAATAATAATAATAACAATAATAACAGGGAGTCTTTAATGACAGGGGTCCTTTAATAATACTCATCAAGTATAATAGCATCACTAACCAGTAGGAACAAGACAGAGTGCGTCGGTCGTCTTAATCATTAGTTTGTCTCTTGGGAAATTGGTGGGGGATTGACGCCTCACACGGAGCCCCCACGGGCTTGCCAATCCGGTCACTCCTGGCTCCCGGAATAACACTTGTTTCTCTTTAAGAAGGCGAGCGGTGTAACTGGGGTGGGTGGGGCAGAGGTATCCCACCTCACCTCCTAAACCCAGAGAGCAGGATTATAAAATTCCAGCTCATAGCTGGTTGGAGAAACAAAGAAAAGTAGACTTGGGACCCATGATAGCAAAGGGCTCGAGGGGCAACGGCCAATGTGGCCACCTGATCCTGCCACGAGGTGGCGACAATCCAGCTGGAAAGACCCGCTGGGGATGGCACTGATGGTTGGCGACCGAGAAAGGAACTTCCACAGACACAAAGACAGGATCTTCGGAACCGAGAAGAGGCGTTTGTCTTCTTCACCAGCAGTACCTCGAGAGTGGACGTGATGAAAGCGGCTTGGAGAAGGAACGAGAAGCTCCTTTCTCATTCCCCGGGCTTCCGCTTCCCAGGCTGCAATCTTTGGTGTGGGGAGGGTTTTGTGAAAAAAAAAAAAATCACCCGAAAAAGTCCAGGTTTGACCCCCTCCCTGCCGCCCGGAGGCCAGCCAGATGCTTCCCCGCATTCTCAGGATTCCGGCCCGTGAGAGGACGATTTTGAGCTCAGCCACACGCCTCGGCCCAGGATCCTACTGCAACCGCGGCGAGTCAGACACCGCCGGGCAGGACGATCCGGCGAGCTCACCCGGAGGCCGGACCTTGGAGGGGGCTGAACCCTGGCTCTGGGGCGCGCAGCAGCCGTAGGGTGTGTCCGCAGCTCGGCTGCACCCGGCTCCTGGGAAAATGTCCGGAGCTGGGCGAGGCTAGGGGGTGGGTGCTCTCCTTGTTTTGTTTGGTTGTGAATGCGAGGAACCGCCACACCCTCGTTTGTTTCAGGAGGGAGGGAGCTGGCTTTGAAACTCCGCTGTTAGGAAACTCGCAATAGGGCGGTTAGGAAACTCCAGTCCAAGGACTGTCCTGATCTGTAGAGCCTGGGCCGTGGCCCGCCTGGCCGCGGTGCTCCAGCCATTGGCCTGCCTGGCCGCCACCAGCGAATCCACGTCTCTCCATGTCCCTCGGGCTTGGACCTCGGTTAGAGCTTGGGAGCTGGGGAGGGAAACTAGAACCTCGCGCGCACGCGCGCGCGCGCGCGCGCGCACACACACACACACACACACACACACACACACACACACACACACACACACACACACATCCCTCAACTGCCCATCGCCCTGGGTTATGGGGGGGGGAGGGAAGAGTGGCGTGTAGCTTGTGACAAACACGTGCCAGATACGATTGCCTTATTTAAACCCCACAGCAGCAATACCTGCATTTTATAGAGGAGGAGAACAAGCCTCAGATACTAAGTGTCCAAGCCCCTCAGCTAGTAGTGGAGCAGGGCTTTTCATCTGGACCGGCATTGCTCCAGAGCCCTAGTCTATGCTATCTCTGACCGCGCCGCCGTCAGGCAACTGGGAGAAGTATAAATAGAGCTGGAAACGAGCTTAGATACTGGCAGGACAGTCAAGGTTATTTTGAACTCTTCTTGCCTGTCAATGCAGACTGGAGATCAGCTAGCGTAGTTTGCTTGCCCTTTCCCCACCTCCAACAACAAATGTTTATTGCCTGCGTTTTATACCAGGAATCTTTCTAAGCTCGGAGGCAACCCAGGGAACAAGACAGACCATATGAGTGTGTGAGCGCGCGAGTGTTGGTGGAGCTAACTATTATTGACTCTCACTGCTCACCACCGTCCGCCTCCTGCAGCTGGGCCTCTGCTGCAGAGCCCTGAAAAGCTCTGCCAATCAGGGCGCTAGAGGGAGACTCCAGGCAGCGGAGGGAGAGCAGCGCTCTCTTCTCCATTGACAATCCCTGTCGGTTTCCCGCAGGGGGGTGGTTGTTTCCGACCAGATTTCTCTAGCACTCCCAGCCTTTGTCGTTGTGTGACAGAACGGAAGCAGGGCAGCTGTCCACTTCTCTGCAGCCTGAGCTCAGACACCAGGGTTCTTCCCTATGGACCCCGATCCTGCTATGGTAACAGTTCTCTCTCTCTAGTGTCCATGCCTCCCCACACCCTTCCAATAAATAACCCGTGTTGTACAAAATGAACGAAGCAGAAAGAAACTTAGTTTGCAATGGGTGCTGCTCTCTAGAATAGAAAGCATTTTTCACATGTGTCATGCGGTTTATAGGCATGGACTAGCAGACCTGGGACACAAATGCCTGCCCATCCTCCACCCCACTCCACCCCACCCCACCACGCCGCCTATTGAAAAACTTGTTTGCTTTCCAGGGTTTTGTTTTGTGCTTTCTAGTTGTTCACCACCAGACTTTGACTAAACAACACTGGAGCTTCCAAGAATCTTTTTTTTTTTTTTTGCAAGATTTCTTCTGACAGAATTATTGGGACTATAGGAGACCATATGAACAAAACAACAAAACACTCTGAAAGATGCTTCAAAATCTAGAACTGTAACACAATTCCTGGACATTCCTGCTGGAAGGACAGAAGACTGGGGTGATGAAAGTGGCCCAAGCATTTTGAAGATGACTCATAGAGGCGACCTCAGAGCCGGAAACTGTGACTCAGCATGGCAAAGGCAGTCATACCAGTGACTCATTGTGATACCACACTGTGTTGAAAAATCTCGTTCCTTAGCATTTGGGGTGGGGTGAACGTTGTACAAACCAAGAAGGCACAGGAACCCAGGGAGTAAACCATGTCTCACCAGTTTTCTCATATCCTATTTCCAAGCTGTACAAGGGGGAAAAATTATCCATGTATTAGCTACTTTTCTATTGCTGAGATAAAACATCATTGTATGTGTGAGAGCCAAAGTTATGTTTTATGTTTTAATTACTGTGCTTAAGATATCCATAAAACAAAAATGCCTGTAGCCTGCAAGCCCTTTGCCCAAGGACAGAAATCTCCTGAGATACTGGAGGCTGTTGTTCATATAAGGTAACAAGCCTAAACAAGTTTGGTTTGAAGGGACCAGCTTCCCTTTTGGCAGCCATAACGGCTTGTCTTAGTCATTAGAAAGTCAGATGCCTGCCTCATGACAAGGAACCAATCAGAAGTTAGCTGGTGGCGCTATGCTTTACAACCCTGTGTGTACATTACGGACAAGCACACAGCAATGACGCACAGAGCATAGCAACCACCCTGGGAGGGCCTATAGGCCATAACAACCAGTTGACCAATCAACTCAGGGCAAGCCCTCCAAGGCTGGAGGCACACCAATTGTGAGCCTGTGCGTACCCCTAGACACTCCCCTTACGCTGCCCTATAAGATCTCGGTCCTGTGGCTTCTCAGAGTCTTTGCTAGCCATCTGCCATGGCAGGTGGGTGAAAGACCCGAGCTAACATGGGGTTAGCTCGTTAAATTACAATAAAGCCTCATGCAGTTTGCAGCAAGCTCTCAAATCTGCCTGGTGATTGGGGTGACCGCAGTCGTGGCCTGGGACCCCGGATACCTGAGTTTTCCGGGGGTCTAACAGGTTGATTCACATGCATGGGATGAGTCTGTATAGCATGAACCACATGTCTTAAATCTCCTCCACCAGCTAGGGATCAAGTATTCAAATACTTAAAACTATGCTGACATCTCAATCAAACCACTACAGTCTATAGTAATTTCATTTAGGCCTCAGGTTCCCAAGCCTAGCAAGGGGGTGTAGTCTTTTGTTTTGTTTTTCAAGTTACAGTTTCTCTATGTAGCCTTGGCTGTCTTAGAACTAGCTCTGTAGACCAAGTTGGCCTCAAACTCACAGAGATCTGCCTGCCTCTGACTCTTGAGTACTGGGACTAAAGTCGTGCACCACCACTGCCCGGCTTGAGGGTGTAATCTTTAAACTTGCAAATCACCAGGGGTTTCATTTCTGCCATTTCTGCATAAACACTTGGTCCATCTCCTTTCTCTGCTCCTTTTCCAGATGCCCTTTGGGAACTGGGGGACATTCTGTTGCATGTCCTCTGCCCCAGGACCTGCTTATTCATACATTTTGGTGCTTCCTGTCTTAGGTGCCTAGTGTTTGAGGTCCCAAGCATACATTTCTGACTCAAATACACATGTGTGCATGAGTCCTTCATTCTAAACTGGGATTTTGAATATTCTATCTAACCATGGCCAATTTATATCATGTTAAGGGCTTGGGAACTTCCAGGTAGTCTCTGCCACATGCAGGCTGTGGAGAACCAGGTGTGCTGTCCCCTGCTTCTTTTGCTTCCTGACTGTTATGGTATTTCCTGCCCAGTTCTGCAATTGCCTTGCCCCAAATGAACACACAGAGACTTATATTAATTATAATACTATTGGCCAGTGACTAGGGCTTCTTATTGGCTAGCTCTGTCTTAATTATTAACCCATTACTATCAATCTATGTATTTCCATGTGGTCTTGGCTTACTGGAGAATGCCTGGCACATCACATCCTTTCTTCCCGGGCTCACACGGCGACTCCTATCTGCCTATCCTTCCCAGAATTCTCCTCCTCTGGTAGCCCCCCTAACCTTCCTGCTGCCTAACTGTCTTCATCATCTCTTCCCTTAAGATTTGGTGTGAGAAAAAGGGCAGAACCTGACATTGGCATTTGGCTAATTCTGCCTTCTGAAGGGTTTGTCTCTGTGCCACATTCAGTGGAGGTTTAAATGAGATGTTCCCCATAGTGTCGGACATTTGAATGCTGGTCCCCTGTAAGGGGTGCTAATTGAGGGTGCATTGGAGGCGTGGCCTTGTTGGAAGAAGTGTGGCATGGATGGAGGGAGCTTTTGAGAGATAAGAGTCACTCTTCTGTTGCACATTTTCAGTTCAAGATGTGAGCCCTCGGTTTCTTGATTCTGCTACCATACTTACCTTTCACTATCATGGACTCTAGCCCTTCTGTTGTTGGACCCAAAGTGAAGTCCAACTCTGGAAGACGCACCCCACAGAGTCACTCATAGGACCCAAGTTCGATGCAAAAGCAAAAGGATTTTATTCCAACGTGTTGGGGTCGTTCCCTGGGAAGAGAATGGCCCAAGTTTCCAAAGCAGGCAGTTTTTATGTCTTTTTGGTCAGTAGGCAGGAGTATGACAACATATTGATTGGCTATAACATTCATGAGTTAGTTACTGATTGGTTGGGAACTGAACTTACAATTTTGCCCAGAAGGGTTTTGGAATGTTATTTTGGTTTTTACACCTGCAAGGCCATGGGACAGCTAGTGGTTTTTCTGGGAACAGAGTGACTTAGGCTTATTTTCAAAACTTGGGTGCTCTGGAGCAGGGTAGCCCATAACAATTTTTAGAAACCAACAGTTGTTGAAGATAATAGAAACTAGTAATAATAACAATTTCCAAAGACTGGTCATCATGACCGACCATTTCATGTGTTCTTTGTCCCAGAGCTGTGTGTGGCCAGCGTGATTTTTAAATACATACTGGTGGGTATCAGGCTAGGCTTGAGTTGGGGGTCTTTCACTTTAAGGGCCTTGGATAGGTTGTTTTATCACAGCAACAGAAAAATAATGGATTCACTTCCCTATGCAGCTAACTTAAGAAAGAGCAACCCTTGTCATTGCAACCTTCTTCCTGGGCGCAGAAAGCTCCGCAATTGTAGGAGTATCCTCACACCATGGAAGACACTAGTTTAGAACTCTCAGATTAGTGTGTGTGTGTGTGTGTGTGTGTGTGTGTGTGTGTGTGTGTGTGTGTGTGTGTGTGGAGAGAGAGAGAGAGTGCAAAACTGAAATAAAACTCAAGATGTTTTTGTCTTAAATCAGATTATTCAGTCACTCACCCATTCATTCAGGCATTGAACAAGGATCTTAAACATGGCAGGCAAGTATTCTACTAACAGGTTTCATCTCCCAACCACATGTATGATGGGGATGTCCTTTGGTGTATATGTTTATCTTATTGGTTGTTGAATAAAGCACTGTTGGCCAATAGAGGAGCAAGTTAGGCCGGACTAGGAGAGTAGGAGGATTCTGGGAAATGTAAGAAAGGGACGCAGCTGCCATGTGATCCCAGGAAGACAGGATGCATTCTGCCAGTGTCCTCAATAAGATAAGTTTATAAATATATAGATTAATAATTATGCTTGATACTTAAGACAGAGATAGCAGATAAGAAATCCTAGTCATTGGCCAGTAGCATTGTACCTAATATAATTCTCTGTGTGTTATTTCGGGCGCCCATGTAGCATCGGGGCTCGGGTGGCTTGGCAGAAAGACTTATTGTTACACATGTATTTTTTTTTAAAGACTTAGTTTTATTTTAAATTGTGTCTATGTGTCATCTGTGTCTGTGTGTGTTTGAAGGAAGGTACTGGTAGAGGTCAGAGGCTTCAGTACCCCAAAGCTGACTGTGAGACCAACCTGGTGTTGTGGAATATCAGTTAAAGATGTGTTAGATTCTTATATGCTGTGGAATATTGGTTTAGTGATGCAAAGATGTGTTGCATTCTCTTATGTTGTATTTGTTTAACTCTGTGAAGCTGTGTTACTTTGCCTGCCTAAAACACCTGATTGGTCTAATAAAGAGCTGAATGGCCAATAGCTAGGCAGGAGAGAGAATAGGTGGGGCTGCCAGGTAGAAAGAATGAAAGGAAGAAGAGAGAAGAGGAGAAGAGGAGAAGGATACCAGGGGTCAGTCACCCAGCCACATAGCCAGTTACAGAATCAGAAATAAAGAAAGGTATATAGAATAGAGAAAGATAAAAATTCCAGAGGCAAAAGGTAGATGGAATAATTTAAGAAAAGCTAGCTAGGCCGGGTGTTGGTGCACTCGGGAGGGAGAGGCAGGTGGATCTCTGTGAGTTTGAGGCCAGCCTGGTCTCCAGAGCGAGTGCCAGGATAGGTTCCAAAGCTACATAGAAAAACCCTGTCTCGAAAAAAAGAAAAAGAAAGAAAAGCTGGCCTGAAACATGACAAGCTAAGGCCAAGATAAGACATATTCATAGGAAAGAATACGTCTCTGTGAATCTATTTGGGTGCTGGGTGGCAGGCCCCCCAAAAAGCAAGAGTTAAAAAAAAACCAACAAACAAACAAAAAACAACAGGTTGGTGCTGGGAATGGAACTCAGGACCATTGCAAGAGCAGCATGCTCTCTTAAGTGCCAGTTTCTCCAGACTCTAACTTTAAAAAGACAATTAGCTGTTCTACTTATTAAAATTATGTGTACTTATTGTAAAATAAATAAACAAAGTGACCCAAATGTCCAGTGAAGGGAGAGAGCTTCTTGGCTCTCTTGGTTTGGCCAGCATCCAGCTTACAAAGACTTTTCCTTTGGAATGTGCCAGGATCCTCTTGGAAGCAATCTGGGCATTGTGTCTGTTAGCCACCAGAGATCAGGTGGCTGAATTCAGGGCACAATGAGGGTGTTTTTCCTTTGAGTTTTGGAAATATGAGTTAGAGAAAAAAAGACCACTGGCTACTGACAAGGCTGCAAGGTATAGGACAAGGACCCAAAGATTCAGAGGGCATCTATATTTCTGGAACCAGTCTGGGTGGGGCTACCAAAAGTGCTTCCACCCTGTCTTGCTCTGGGTGCATGCAGAGCCTTTGGTTTGACTTGGTGTATCCTACAGTGTTTCATCAAACACTGTAAACAGTATAACAGTATAAACACTATAAACAGTGTTTATAGAATGGGTGGGGTTTGAGCATCATGGTGTCCCCTTCCTGCAGTAGGATGATGCTGGACCCCAGTATAATGCAAACACTTTGATGAGCACTGTGTTTTTCTGTCGGGGCCCAAAAATTATCGATTATAATATTTTGGGGTCCAAACATCAGCTCCGATTCCAGGCGTCTGAATCTCCCGTTGTCTTTCAGATGCAGGCT